ATACCTAGCATTGTGGACATTTCTAAATGTTTTAACAACAAATGCAATTCGTTTTAAACTGTTTCCCGGGGCTAATTCGCAAACAGACGTTAAAACACCTGATTTGTTATTTCACTGTCAAAACAACTTTTATTGTAGGGAAATAATAAAATATGTGTCATGTTTTTTGAAACCTCAGAATTATAGTCCCGAGACAAAAAAACAATAAGAGAAAGAGAGGTTTTTAAGGGATCAAACGATTTTAAAGGGCAGGTTTCAGAAGGCTAAATTTCATTGGTTTGGCCAAGGAAAAAAAGGAAGTCTTTGAAATGAACGTCTTTGTTGGTAATAAATTCCATAAAAATATTCTGACGGACGAAGTTCAATGAATGTTTCTGACGTAAGGCCGTGTCTGGTGACGTTAACATTTAAAATGATTGGAAGTTTAAATGAAAATGTTTTGAAATTAAAAGGGGAAAAAAACTACAAGTGTTTTTTTCCTTTAGTAATTAATATTAATAATAAACTTAATTTTCATTCATTTAGTTTTTGATGCAATTAGCTTTTTTTACTTACGTTTTTCTTAGTGTAAGTTTTTTGTCATGGTGAAGATTTTTGTCTTATTATCATTACACACAGTTTACACTCTGAAATGAAAAGGAAAAAAATATTAGTGTTGTTTTTTCTTTATTAATTAATTTTAATAACAAGTTGAATTTTCTTTTATTTAATTTTTGATGCAAATAACTTTTTTTTACCTACATTTTTCTTAGTGTAGCCTTTTTGTTATGGTAAAGATTTAAATATGGTACTTGAAATAGAAGCGCTTTAGAATCATTTGAAATATTTCTCAACCAACGTAAAACAAAAGAATTTGAAACGAGAAGAAAAGATTTTTAGTTGCCACTGCAACATACATTAAGTGACTAAGTACAATAAAAAACAATATTAAATTTTTAAAGATTTTTATCCATAATTTAAAATAAAGCAATTAAGAAGATTAAAGTTTCGCTATCACTTCTACAAAAGAAATGTTAACAGAATAACATTCTCTAATGAAAGTAGAATTCGTATATCGATTCATTTTGATTAAATGTTTAAACTCAATTAAAAATATTATGAAAAACTAAAAGTTGCGCTTTTTTTCTGAAGGCTAAAGGGAAGAAAACACATTTCAAATGAAAACTTCAAATCTTCACGAAGAGTGGTATAATTAGAAAATAACGCTGATAATCAAAACTGATTGTGTGCAGTGTTATAATGGTTAAATAAAGCGTGATTTAAGACTGCAGATTAACAAAATGTGGCTGTTTAAGTAAGAAACATTAAAAAAAAACATACTCCTATATAATTAAAATTTATGTTGTTAATGAGTGGATCAAAGTATGTAGTATCTTAACCTACAAGTAAATTAGGCTTGAAGTTTTCTTAAAAGTGGAAATTTTCTTCCTTAAAATTATATCAGATTGAAATATTCGATACAGGACAAGATTTACATAAACTCTTAAAGGGAATGACCATCCCTTTGAGATCTTATGCAAGTAACTTCGACGGTTATTATTTTTTTTACATTTTTTAAAGAGTCGAAAATCACCCTAAGTCATAAAAACATTAACTCAATTTTGTTAGGAGACATATTAAAGTTTATAATAAAAAAGAACCAAAAGTTGTCCTAATTACCCCCAACTAACTAAATTCACCTTGAAAGAGATAGTTTATAGATACTTAATATTTAAAATTAACTGTAATCAATTATGGATAGTAAAAGGAAGTGACAGCAGTTTTTCTCTTTTCTTCATTTTATCAATCCCGTGTCATTTCGGTTATTAATGTCAGTAATGATATACGCTATAAATAGTTGACAAATGAATATGTAGATATTTTATGGGCTTTCAATTCATTGACGAGCTTATTTAAATAAATTATTTAACTTTTCCTGTAAATTTTCGAATTGATAATTTTTCGTGTTTTTATTTTTAACCCTTTATGCATATCATGTGAGAAAAAAAACAACTATTTTGTTATGTTTGTTCATCTTAATATCTTTGTCTATTTTTTTATTAATCAGTCATGCAAAAAAAAAAAAAAATACAATGGTTGTGTTCTATTGACTTGTCATCTGGTCGTGGTCATCTGACAGTGGGTTTAATTTTTTTTCCACAATCGGAGTCTTGGAGTGTAGATCCACAAATATTAGTAAAATCGTGATTCTCTCAGATGAAATTTAAACATTCATCTTGGTAGTCATACAATTTTTCAATTGTAAATTTAAAGTACCCTAGAAAATAAGACAAGTTTTGATTAAACATTTCATCAAATTTCCCTCGTTTCTTTGAATAAATCTAAAAGGCATTTAAAACAGTAACCTCAGATTTCAATGCAAATGAGACCCAAATAAAAACTGGCTCCTATCACCCGGACTACATGTGACAGATAGCTCTCAACTTTTAGTTCGCTTTTCTTAAAGGTCTAAAAATTACACAAAAGAAAAAATCAACTGTAGTTTCACATTTACAAAAAAATATTACCGAAATACTAATAATGATAAATAAGCAAGAGCTACTTTTAGATTACAGTAAAACCAGGAGAAATAGCGCTGTTGGAAAAATCGGACATGGTGGAAAAAAGTACAGTACTGTAAAAAGTATACAGTAAAGTTCAGATCAGTCCTGCGATTCCAGATATTTGAACATAAACAATACTGCAGTGTATACTTTAAAACTGATTGGTTAAGATCGGAAAAGAATTATCATAACTCTTTTTCGTAATTTTCTATAGAATGCCAAAAGTATAAAATCTTTTAATTGAATGATTTTTCTTTGGCTAACGGACCTTGGCTAACATTACTTACATCAAAAGTTCGTGTAGCTTAAAATTTGTGCTGACGAAAGTTCTGTATGTTACTTCTTTCATCAGTATCTTCGCTTAAAGAATAAACTAATGTTTCGGCAAATTCGTAATGTGATATCGTCCATTTGCATAAATCATTTGGTGGGCTTTTTTCAAAGACTTTAAAAGTAAAGAGTTGCAAAGTTGCCATGGATGCTATAAATTTAAAATAGTGATTGAAAATTTACGTAGTAGGAATTTAGAGTTTTAAAACTCACTTTATCGTTTATAATTAAGAAAAAGAAGACAACGCCTGAAAAGTTGCATGCACAGTACAGACATACATTACTTGTACTGTGTCTATGTACAAGTAATGTACATAGACGCAGGACTTCCCCCGATAATGATTATTTTAAGTGTTTGAATAAATAAGGAAAAAAGAGCACACAATTTGTCGTTTAGTTATGAAAATTGGAAAGAAACAATTTTTGCTATATCAAGTAATATTGAGTGAAATAACCGAAAGCATCAATGCAAGAAATGAAATGAACTTGTCTGTTAGGACAGTGCAGCGGAATTTGGCTGTAATAGGATATGGCATTACAGTCAAACTCCGCTGCACTGTCCGCTGCCCTTGGCTGTAGCAGAAGACCGACTCGAGTGCTTTTACTAACAGTACGACACCACGTTTAGTGCCCCTCCTGGGCTCGTGACCATATTAGTTGAACCCAAACGACTGGAAAATTGTCACTTGGTCAAATGAGTCACAATTTCAGATGGTCAGAGTTGATGGGAGAATTCGAGTGGGAAGCAGACCCCACGACATAGTTGTTAACAAGACACTGTGGCACAAGACACTCTGGTGTCGGTTCTATAATGGTGTGGGCTGATTTTTCATGACATGGACTGGGTTCTATACTGCCTAATTTCACCGATCATTGACTGAAAATGGTTATGTTTTGTTACTTGGAGATCACTTGCAGCCATTTATGGACTTAGTGTATCCAAATCCTAACAAATTATTGGCCACCTAGATCTCCCGACATGAACCCCATGGATATTTATGCGATATTACTGAGAGGTCAGTTTGTACAAAAAATCCAGTACCCGCAACACTTTCGCAATTATCGACACTCCTGCAAGAGATTTACTACTCGTTTAGTCCATGCAATACCTCCTAGAAGAAAGAAGGCCTCAACACGGGTTACCATAAGCAAGAAATTTGATCTTTTAGTAGTCCAAACGAAGTGACATCTTTCTTAAATTCATCCACTGCGCAGTTTATATTCGTTACGTCGAACTACTAAATTGATCCGTGCTGAGGCCTTCTTTCTTCTAAGGGGTGTTGGCCCATGCCACATCGAGTTGCTGCACTTCGTAAAGTTCGAGGCTGTCCAACACGATATTAAGAGGTACAACATTAATAATGCCACCTCACTGTAATTATAAATAGAATTATTTAATAGATCAATAGAGAATATAATCTTTGTTCAAATGTTCTTAAATGAAATGAGCATTTATTTTGTTGCAGAGGAACGAACCTAATTTAAATAACATTTCTTTATAAAGAAACAAATGAGGAATATTTTTATTTTAGAAATTTGCTAACATTTATTTTTACATATTTAGATTTATTAAAAATAACTTATTCGAAACTCAATGTCTACATACCGTATCTAATTTACTGCGTATTCTTAAGTCAAATAAGGTTAAAATGACATAAACTTGTTTACAAACTAGATATTTTTAGATTTGTGTATTAATTACCAACACTTAAAATTCATTGATTTAATCAGATGTCAGATTAAGAACAAAGGGGGAGTAATCGAGTATTTTAGGAAAAACTTACTTAAAATATTTGCAAACTTCCTCAGTTTACCTTTTAGGGAAAATGTCAACAAATTAAAAAATAACATATTATTTCAACATTTCATATTCTTACGAGCCTTTATAGCCAATAGAAATAATATGTACCAAATCAACGTTATTCCTTGTACATGAAGCCTTTTTTGACCTATCCAAGTAAAAAATCTTAAACCGGTTCAAATATTTCTGATGACGAAAGCAAAGAAGTGACCGAGAACGTGGTTCATTGGTATATTTCAATATAAAATACAAAATTTCATTTTTGATGAGGCGCAGCAAAACAACATTTGACGCAAGACAGGGAAAAAAATAATTTTTGAGAGAGGAGGAAAATTATGTGCAGTTGATAGCTTTGTAAAAAGTTACAATGGCAGTAGAATAAATTATATCGGATTACGAACGTTCATTGGTCATTATAAAACTACAAGTTTTCATTTTTGCGTTCCTTTAGTCACTAAATTTGATAGCCTGAACCAGGTGAGTTAAACTACTCCTAATTAAATTGAATTATTTTTAGAATTACTTTTTGTGTATTTGCGCTTCCAGTTAAAAATATAAATAGTTGTTAAATTGTAATTTTTGTTAACTAATATCAATTGTTTTATTCTTAATTTTTATCTTAATTAAAATCTAACAACATAATTACTAAATAATTAATTACACATCATTATGATTGCTCATTGGTCATCATAAAACTATAGTAAGTTAAATAATAGTTAATAGAATAATAGGTAAATTGTAATTTCGTTGACTGATATAAATTATTTTTATCTCAACTTTTATCTTAATTAAAAACTTATAACATAATTGCTACATTTTTAAATAAAAATGATATTTAAGTTAAATTATTTCATTAAAATAAATTGTTTTAAATTAATGGTATTTTATGTACATGTTACTCATTGAAGAAAATATAATTTATAATTGTTTGCATTTTGTCGTTCGAATATTATTTCTAGTTTGCCTGTATCCTGTTTAAAGTTTTTGTTGTTATTCTAGGTCTGACTACATAATAGTTTTTAAGTTTAAATTCATCAGCTTTCTAGCTATGATACTCAAAATTATTTTTAATTAATTAAAAATAAACATTTATTGCACAGATTAATTTAAAATCAATACATGTTATTTAGAATTATAGTATATCTTTATCAGGAAAACATGTAAAATAAACGACGCATTGCTATGAAAAACACCACCTATGGTTTTCCTCTTTTATTCATTTTATATATTATCTTTATTCGCTATAACAAAACTGCACTGGAAAGGTTGCTTTAATGCAAAAAATAACTTAGTTCGTAAATTAAATATTTAAACAAAAAAGTTACAAATCTTTTATGATATTCCTAACTTTATTAATGAATTAAAGTTTTACTCAAGGAAATCGAACAATTTTAGCTTAACAGTTTTAATTAAAACAGAATATTTATAAATATTTAGAGATCGTTTGAATAAAATTAAGATTTTACAGCTCCTAGAAAATTAAAATGTTAACATAAATAAACAGTGAATAATAATATTGTTAAATTTCTCACCTTAGCCATTAGACGTTTGTTTATTGACAATTGTCGGAAATTAGACTATCCTAAGACTATGATTATAGCCATAAGGCTTTTTTTCTAATTAATTACGATTTTTTTAGAAAGAAAAAAAAAGACGAATTACAATAACGCTAGAATTAATACAGTATTTCATGAACTGTCAAATGCACCAGCTGAGAGGATATTTTTCATTCATTAGATTTCACCTTGATCCTTTAAGCAAACTGTTCATGTTTGTTTCATAATCTTTGCGTTTGACATTAGCTATCCTTATTTTTGTTGTTACAACATAATGGAGACTAACAGAATGTGTCTTAATATTGATGATATAAAATTTATTTTCAAGGACGAATGTTTTTAAATATATCTGATTAAAAATTTAAAATGACAGATTCATATTTTGAATAATATTTAGTTTTTATTCAAAAAAAAAATACATCTTTCATTTAAAAAAACTATAGCTATTTAGGAAAAAAAAGAAATAGAATGGATTTTACTATACACGCTACACATTTATATAAATCACATTATTCACTACTCATTTTAATTTATATATATTTCTGTATGCAAAAATGATTCTTTTCTTATAATGGCTATTACAGAAGAGTTATTTTAGTCTCTTTTTTTTTGACAATTTATTTTTTAGCGAATATTTAATTTTTATTTATGAGTTAGAAATTTTAAGCGATTATTTAGATTAAAAACGATGTTATAAAATTTCTTATTAACTATTTTTTATGCACAGATTTTATAGTTAACCTTTCTTTTATGAAAATAAGCTTGGCTAGGGGAATGTAGAAAGAATAAGTTAACTTAATTATATAGTTCATATTTATTTTATATATTTGAATTCAGTATCATTAAGATCTTATCAAAAATACATTTACACGTATATTAAATACATACAACCTAATTATTTATTTTAAATACATGCCCAATCAGAGTTTTCGCATATCATGGGTATGTTAGGTAATATATTTTTTGAGCCCTGGTAAACGAGCCCTGTAACGTGCACCGTGAAAAAATTATGATAAAAGGTAAAATTTGCCGTGTTTCAGGGTTTATGGGTACACCAAAAAGCTCGGTTGCTCGCTTTGGGTATTGATTTTGATAAAATTAACAATAAAGCTTGGTTTTAAAATAAAATTTGGTAATTTATCATTATATCTTAAAGCGTGGCATAAAATCATTTATCTGGCTAAATTTACTTTTCAGTTTCGTGCTTATTAAACGTCTATAATTTTTAAAGACTGAATTTCTGATAAACTGTTATCATATAAAAATGAAATGCTAATAAGAAGGCAAATAGTTACGTAAATGAAAATCAAATCCAAGAAAATGTTTGAGAAAAAAGCTTGTTTCGAAACAGCAACGAAATATTTTTCTTCTTCACTGAAAAAGAATTGCTTTATTATAAGTAAAACATTTTTACTTATAATAAAACAATTTAAAACATTATTTTTANTTATAAAATTTTTTATTAACTATTTTTTATGCACAGATTTTATAGTTAACCTTTCTTTTATGAAAATAAGCTTGGCTAGGGGAATGTAGAAAGAATAAGTTAACTTAATTATATAGTTCATATTTATTTTATATATTTAAATTCAGTAACATTAAGAGCGTATCAAAAATATATCTGCTCGCATATATATTCAACCTATTAATTATTTATATTAAATACATGCTCAATCAGAGTTTTCGCATATCATGGGTATGTTACGTAATATATTTTTCGAGTCCTGGTAAACGAGCCCTGTAACAGTTATCATGCACCGAGAAAAAATTATGATAAAAGTACCACATTAAGGCAAGATTTGCCGTGTTTCATGCTCTATGGGTACACCAAAAAGCTCGGTTGCTCGCTTTGGGTAATGATTTTGATAAAATTAACAATAAAGTTTGGCTTTATGATAAAATTTGGTAATTTATCATGATATCTTAAAGGCGTAATACAATTTATTTGGTTAAATTTACTTCCCATTACGGTAAAATTACCAAATGAATGTTTTAAATACCGTATATTTTAGTTTTACTAACCAGAATTATGCTTTTTTTTTTAACCAGAAATGTCATTATCATACAGTGCTGTAATTTTACCAGATTTTTTTTCTGCGTGTGTAATGAATTTAAAACAATAGTTGTCAATTACCATACAGTGCTGTAATTGATTTTTTTCTCCGCGTGCAATGAATAAAAAAACTGTTGTCAATTTTACAAATATTTTTGAAACTTTTCTTTTTTAATTAATATTCACGCAATTGCTTTGATGAAATCGATGTTTATTGATTTATCACGTTTACCTATGTGTAACATTCACCTTAATTAAATAAAAAAAAAGCATTTATTTATTTCGAAGTACTCAGATCTTACGAAATTATGGCGAGTGACGATCATAAAATAAGTCAATTTGCATATAAAACCGACTTTGCAAAAACATTAAAGAAATATATTTATTTGTCATAAGATATGGCCTATTTTCATAAACCTTATGTACAACCTTGCAGTGAAATAACAATATCGTTGTAGATGACACTTTGTCTCATTAAATAAGAACTCCGCTCCTTGAACTCAGTAATATTCTTAACACTTGACACGGTTTTGAATACATTAAAAGAATTGGCCTTAATGAATTCGGCACAGTGTTTTGATGACATAAAATGTTCTGGCCTCAGTACTTTGAATAAAGATTCGAGAGAAAAAATTCCAACATGTGCTAGTTTTATGGATAAACGATAATGGATATTTTTCTTCGGTAATTCACCACATTGAATACTTTCTCAAGATTTCCTGTATTAAAAGACAATTTCTTGGGTTGCCGAAAAAATAAGAATTCAACAGTTGTTTTTTCGAGAATTTTTTTCAGTAGAAAATTCGCTTTTGAGTGAATTACTTATGGAGTTCGATACCCATTAATGTAGTTAATGTGTACATTTCATGAATTTTAAAATAAGTCATATAATTTCAAGTGAGGTTAGTAATGTTACAATGCAATAATACTTCATAAGAAATTAACTTATATACATAATGTTCGGGTGCTTTAAGATAAAAAATTTCTTTTTTTTAATATTTTTTTAAATAAATAGCAATGAAATTGTAATTTTTAAAATCCTCACAAGTACTTTGGTAGGATAATTTGTTTCCAAATCAGCACGAATTTATGTACATTTCCTCTTAAAACAGCTTTTTCCTAATGTTTAAGTTACTTTCAGATTTTATATGAAAGACAAGTTAAAATCTGACTTTGAAATCTTTATAACTTAGATTTGATGCAAAATAATGTTTAGTGTCAAAATGCCTTGATACGCTCATTAATAAATGAAAAAAAATATTTCAAATCATTAACTTAAGAAAATGAAATAAATTTTTTTGTAAAAAATTTTTAAGAAGAGTTCAAGAAGTGTTTTAATTTTATAATTTATAATTTTGTTATTAATCATTTTACATTTTTTAACTTATTCAGATGTAAACTATTTATTAAAATAAACATAATGAGAGCACACGTTTCTGAAAATGGATAAAAGTCATTCATTGCTAATTTCCAATTTTTTTTCTTATTACTGAAAGCAGATGTAATGTCATTAATCCCGGAAGAAAACTGATTAATTTAACCAAATCTGATAAAGTTGCATAAATCGTATAAACAATGGAGTTTTATTTCCTAAAATTAATCTGTTTGGAAATGTATTCATTTTTATTTATTTACATTGTTTTTTGCATATGCATTACATAGTAGCTCAGCATTGCTCAATCACATGTAGCTGACAATCTTTAAAGTTTTAAAACAATAGCAAATGATTCCTGAAGAGAGATACATGATAGGATTCATGATAAAAATTTCTTCATTAACTCAATTTTTATTACGATAGATTTGTTTTAGAATTTTTGAATTCGAAATGTTTTTTATTATTTAATGGCACTGTTTTATTTCTTGAAAAT